AATATATATATTCGCCTGTTTGTGGCTGCATGCGTAGCTGTTGGTGGTTTACTGCTTCTATATTCTATTGGGTTACTGCATGGCTATCTGGCTAGATCTGGCGAGTGTTGTTATGCAGAAATGATATTCAGTCCGTCTGGTGCGGCCACCGGCCGTTAGTCTCGCAATCTGCGGCTGCACAAGACACAGCAGGACTCGTGCGATCCCATACAGTTCTAGTAGATGAAGAGTCGGGTCTCATTAGTTTGCTCGGCGGAAAATGGACTACGTACAGACGCATGGCACAAGTAGGACACACACACACGCACGCACACACACACACACACACACACACACACACTTGTAGCAGAGAAACGCAAGTCAAAACAGACACAGACATGGACACGAAATTGAAACAAAAGCAAGCAACACACAGGCACACGCATGCGCAGACTAAAACGCACGCGGCAATAATAACAGCCGAAGCTTGTACACCCTCCATTATGTTCTGTAGATGTGTACGTACACAGGACACAGTAGACAAGATTTTGGAAGTTCATGGCGATAAAGTGGCAGCAACAACTCCCTGTAGAACCAAAGGGATGAAAATCCAAGGCGCAGTAGACCCGCGAGGGCGGCTTTCTCCTGAGGTGAGTTTGCGGCAGTTGCTGTTGTCTCGTTTGTCCCTTTTAGTCGGCTCATGCGCTTGTAAAACATGTAGAATGTGCGGCTGTCCTGGGGCTGTTCACTGACATTTGCGGGGGTAGCCAAGGAGAGGGTGCTTCTACAACTGTTTGTAGTGTGTTGGTGCAGCAGCAGCAGAATTGCGTTTGCCCTTGATGTGTGCTTTTGCTGCTGCAATTGTTTGTCTGAATCTGTGTGGCGCTCTGCCTGCGTGCATGCTCGTTGACTCGCTGCAGGATTGCCGCCTGAGCACGGGCAAGTTGGAGCACGAGTTGAGTCAGTCGCATCCTTGTCTCTCTTTTGAGCAACGTGCACATCTAATAAGCCACTACGGATTTATCGCGAGAGATGTCTTAGATATTGCAAGGAATGAGGCCCTCATGGATCGTCTTGTGGAGGAGCTACCTTACTTGAAGGCCGAAGTTGTATTTGCATGCAGGTGGGGGGCGTTAGAGTCTGTCTTCCTTTTGTTGTGTCTGTTGCCTCCTCTAGCGTTATGCAAGCGAGCTAGAGCGGAAGGAACAAACAGCTGTTGCTCTATTTGCATGGTGTCCAACTGAAAAACTAACCGAAAATGGCAAACAGCCAGAGGCAGAGATGCCGTTTCTTCGCATACTAAGGCGTAGTTTTGTACTGTTGATTAAACAGTACATCGAGTTTTGTTCGTCCAGTGTAATACCTAATTCAAGAGCATTTTATCTTCTGTGTCCTGCTTTCCTTCCTTGCACTTGTTGCCCTCAGGTATGAACAAGCACGATCCGTAAGCGACATCATTGCCCGGCGTCTTCCAGTTTTATTTCTTGACCAAAAGCTGGCTGTGCGAGTCATCGACACCGTAGGCTGTGCACCGCACCATCACTCCCGAAGTCCCCCTCCTAGAGGCCTGTACACTGCGCGTACACTCAACCACAGATCACGTGATGCTCACTCTATTGCTGCTTCTGGTGATGCTCTATCACTACTGCTGCTCCGGTCGATGCTGTTCCTGCTGCTGCTTGCGCGTGCCACAGGTGAGCAATCTGATGGCAAAGGAGTTGGGATGGAGCGCCTCAGTAGCAGCAAAAAAGAAAGAAGAAGCCCTTGCCTATGCTGAGACCTTCACTGTCAGCCCTTGAAGCCCCCCTGACGCAGTATAAACAGCCTACTCCACTGTACAGACAGCGCTACAGGAGGCAATTTTGTCGTGTGCGTTTAATTGGGTTTAATGTATGGGAAAACAGCGCAATGCCTCCTTCAGCGGCTTTGAAAACAGCTCTATTTTTAAAGCCTCTCCCCCTCCTGCTTTGTTTCGTGAGGCGAGGAGACGAAACGGCCTTTCTTCTTTATACGCGCACCAGACGCAGCGTCAGTACGTCGTAGTCTCCATGTCTTCTTTTTAAAAGTTGACTTAAAGGGTCATTTCTGGCCGGTCTTCGCTGCAATGCCATATTTGTTGAACTACATGCATTTGTGTACGTACATATACTCTTGTAGACGTACATACATGTGTATGTACGTCTACGTTTATTCACATAATATTCCCACATATATATGTATACGGGTTGTTATAAGTCTAGAGACCCAGGCAAACTTGATTCGGAACGTTTTGCTTGATTCGGAACGTTTGGCAAGGGGGCTTCAAATGCACTTGGCGCGCTGCTTAGGGCCCTCCTTGCCATATGAAAACACTAAAGAAAGGCAAACAATCTACTACTGATGGGGGCTCCATCGTCAGCGCAAAACCCTCCTGTGGCACGCTTCGCCTAAGGGCCCCTGGAACAAAGAATACACTGACACACTGCAGTTAGGGACCCCACGGGGCCCCCATCAAACTCCTTTAGGGTGCCTCTGAGAAACCTCGTGAAGGGGGGGAGTGCAGGGATAATCGGGCCCCTTAGGTCGAAACGTGCCCGCAAGGGACTGCGCCAGAGATGAGCCTAGGGGCAAGAAAAGACAGAAACATAAAATGATGATAAAGTCAAACTAGGGTTTAGGGTTAAGGGTTACGGGCTTACCACTGCAGAGGAGGGCATGGTTTTCTGAGGACTTCTCCTTTGGGTCCAAATTGAGCAACTTTGCCATCAACCAGTACCTGCAGTGTAGATATGTAAATAAATGGAGCAGCACATCGGTGTGGTGTCGCCTGCCGCTTTACCATGTGCAAACATGTTGTGCAAGCTGTCTCTGTCTCTCGTGTCCTTGCCTAATGCCTGTCTCTCCTGCCTTTGTCTCGTGTCTGTCTCTTGTTTGTCTGCACTCGTAAAGGGAAACGTTAGTGTCTCTGAAGTGCAGCAAATGGGTCTTTCACAGCAGCGTAGCAGCAGCACTGCTGCTGCTGCTGCTGCTGCTCCAGGTAGGTTTACCATGATGTGGTCTGCGATCTCGAGCACTCCAGGCCGATGGGAGACAAAGAGGCATGTCTCTCCGTGCAGTTTCTATGCACGAGAATAAACGACAGCAGTGAGCAGCGAAGCACACAGAGAGATACATAAATATAAATATAAATATAAATATAGTGAATATATATATTATATCTAGGTGTGGAGAAAAAATATGTGTATATATAATAGGAATATTGTGAACAGATATATGTATATATAGGTAACGTCATATTAAAGGTATTCACACACGTATCTGTGTGCAAACGTCAGTAGAAACCTTTATGAGGGTGCGAATGCAGAAGGCCCGGAAACTGCGGAGGAAAGAGAACACACTCTTTTTAAGTTTTTAAGCACTTGGCTCTCCGTGTCCGCATCCAGAGAGGATGTGGCCTCGTCCATAAACAGCACTGTGGGTAGTTTTGTTTTCTGTCTGTCTCTTTGGGAATGCTCCAGTCGGCAGAAAGCCATTGCGAGGCACACGCGCTGTTTCTGTCCCCCTGAGAGCTCCACCCACCCACCAGCAAACCCTACGTTTCAAACCTTAAACCCTAAAATGCCCTCCAGACTCCTAGCTGAACGGTGGCTCTAGTGTCTTGACTCCCTCTCATCAAACTGGCACCTGACAAGACAGCTCCGCTCCCACAGAGCCGCGTCTGTAGTCCCTCAGGAAGGGTGGCAGCAAATTTTGAAACGCATGCAGCGTCACAAGATGCAGAGACAGGCGAATGCACATCCGGAGTTGCTGCAACAAACAACAACGGCAACAATACACAAACAAACTGTACACAAGCAGTGAGCGGGCACTGCGTGCTGCAATCGTAAGCAGCCAGCGGAGAGGCTAATTACCCTCTGGGGATATTCATGTACGCATTCGTTAGTTTCGTCATTTTTGCATGTGTGCGTGCTGTTGGGTGGTGGCGTGCACTTGTGCTTGCTTGCATTGAGGCATGCATATATATGCCTTGGTTAGGTGTAAAGGAGTCGAGGCTAATGAGTCCGTCTGTGTCCACACGCTGTGTTTGTGAATTTATTTACATAGAGGACGCGTTCATGTGCATCGTGTTCCGCTGTATGCCCTAAGAGCAGAAGGCGGCTTGTGCGTGTGGCATGATTCAGCACAGCACACAGTTGGGGGACCAAGTTTACATTGCCTCAAACAATTGCATGACTGACTGCCTAATGCCTCCTGTTGCGCCATATACCCATAGCGTATCTGATCCTCCAAAGTCATCCCCGACAGCAGCAGAGAGTCCTGCAGCACCGGAATGACCTGTGCGTACACCCAAACGCCTCATAGGTTAACCCTTTGTGGGCCCTAAACCCCATCCGCCAAACCCTAGGCAAGAAGCAAACGCTAAACCCTAGAAAAGAAGAAAAACTATAAACCCGAACCCTCAACTGTTTGACAAACCCCAGGGGCTCACAAGAGCGCGAATGAACCGCTCATCATAAGCATGGATAGGAAGGCCCTCAAAGAAGATGCCGCCTCTTTGGGGTTCAAAAAGGCGGAGCAAAAGAGCACCGAGTGAGCTCTTCCCACTTCCACTAGGGCCTAACGCAACACTCTCAACAGGAACAGCAATAGCAGTCACCCCAACAACAGCAAGTGCAACGGCAGCAGCAACAGCAGCAGCAGCAACAGCGGAAGCAACATGAGTAACCAACGGCCGCCGCCGCAACAAATCATCACAACGAGGAGATTCTGTAGAACAGTAAAAAAGAAACAAATTACCCGTAACGGCTACAACAGCTCCTGGGGGTACTTTAAAGCTGAGACCGCGAAGTGCCCACTGCCCTTCCCGCAGAGGATACGAAAACCACACGTCTCTGAACTCCACAGCAGGGCATCTGTGATCCGTTGCAGCTGTTAACGTCGATGCCACCTCCTGGTCCTGCTCCTGCTTTGCCAATTGATGCTGCTGCCGTAGGGCAGCCTGAAAGCGACGTAGCTCGCTAGGGTAGTCGAGCGGGGAGGCCAGAAGCGGGGGAAGAGGCCGCAGCAGCTGCCGCAGCATATCGTCGGCGGCAGCAGCAGCACGATAAGCATCACTCCAAGCCGTAGCGCAGCCCTGGATCGATGAGCCGACGAAGGCAGAGTACAACGCCAGAGACATCACTTGGCCGCCAGTTAGGACCCCTGCAACAGCAGCTCCAGCAGCAGCAACAACAATAACGGCAACAACAAGAGGGAACCGCGCAGTGGTAAGGCAGCCAGACGAGCTTCCCGTCGCTGCAACGAGAACAATGGAGGAGACAGAATGTCAAGGAGTCACAACAGGGAAGTCCAGACAAACCCTGAGCAACAAGAGATGCTGCAGCATTTACAAGATGAATCAGCAGACCCGACCCAGCAGCAAAGACGAAGGCGTGGCGACAGCCAACAGCAACAGAAGTCCTTTGAGCTGCAGCCAACACGTCCTCCAGCTGCAGCAACAGCAGCGGCAAAGCAGCAACAGCAAAACAGCAGCTCAAGTTGCAGCAGCTGCAGTGGAGCAGCCTGCACGCAGGTTCAAAGATGATGGGTGGGCACTGCCAAAGTAAACCTAGTGGCGCCCGCAACGGAAGAGTAGAGCAAAAGCAGCAGCAGATGCAGCAGAAGAAACTTCAGCAGCAGCACCACAAGCAGCACAGCCAAAACCAGCACCGCCTGCAGCAGCAGAAATAGCCTCGGGGGAAACCCCATCAGCAGACGCAGCACGGGCAGAACCACCAGCAGCGAGCGCCTCACTGCATCCCCGAAGGCCTTAGCTTCAAGAGCCTCGCCATTGAGACTCCTGAGCTGTCCTCTGGAGCTGAGGGCCCCTGTGGCGCGCTGGAGGGCCCCCTGCAGCGCCTTGCTGTGTTGCTGCTGCAGCCGGGCAACATGCCTCGCTGAGAGACGAAACAACCCCGCAACGCATGCAACTGGCAGCAGCAGAGACAGCAGAAAGGAGCAGGGCGCCGCCGCCCAACACAATGCGATGCCTGCGAAACGTGTACACCCACACAAGACTACATGAAAGCCAGCCGGTTGATTGGAAATGAGGTGGACAGATATGTTGTAGAAGGATACAGAGAGGAGAGAAGGAGGCTGGAGCAACGGCACTGGAAGAGGGGCGACGCCAGGACACAATCAACAGCAAAATGAAATAATCGAAAAACCTACAGGCTCGCGGGTAGAAGAACACACCGGGCAAAGGGGCAACACGGAGCAGGCGAAACAGAGAGGAAATCATAATGGGGCAGGCGAAGGATGCAAAACGGCATATGGCAGGAATCAGAAGCAAACATACGACACCATGAGGAGATACAGCATGAGAGGGTGCATGATGGACAAGACACAAGAACAAAGTTACAGAAGACCCGAACAAGGGGATGGGAGGACCCAGCCAGCTAAACAGGAGGCATAACCGGAGACACTTGCGGGCAGGCGGCGACAAAGACGAAAGCAAGAAAAGGGGACAGGGGGGATAAGCATGCTGGCGAAGGTGCAATGCAAAAGGAGGCAAAAGGATGAGATAAGAGAGTAAGAAGCAAACAGAATAGGAAAAGACAAAAAGGAGGCAAGAACATATGCACGGAGACACAATGAGGCAAAGGAAACCAAAGGAGAAAGCAGATGACTGTAGCGCAGTTTTATCCCATCGCCGCACCGACGACAGACGTAAGGAGGCAACGGAGACCAAAGGAGATATCGACCAGTACTCTGCTCGCCGTCACTACGTCTTCTGCACGCCCAAGCAAGACTAAATCCTAAACCCTAAACCCTAGCTCCGAAACCGTCTGGCGAATCCGAATAATGGACAAAGCTGGTGAAGGCTGGAGACTCTGAGACAGATGCAGGAGAAGTTATTTGCAAGTGCAATTACTAAACATGGAGTTAAAAACTTGCTAAAAGGATCCCCGTAAGACGTGGCAGCACAGCAGCGCACGAGATAAGTGCTTCATCAGGGCCCCCAGCTGCTGCTGCTGAGAGTTGGGTAACGTCTGGTAGAGCAGCCGCCTGAACAAACTCCCCCGTAGGCGGCAGGCCACCCGCTCGATCTGCAAATATGCGCAGCATGCCCTAAACCCTACACCCGTAACAAAACGCCCCCTCTAAGCACGTCTAAAAGGGAATGAGAAACAGGCCAAGGTTTCTGAATGGCATCCTACTGTAGACTCGAGGAGAAAGAGTCTTGTAAATGATGTGATTGCCCCAACAGCCCCCAATGCAACGCAGAGACCCAAACGGGCCCCAGGTGTCTGCACTCTTTCTTCTATTGCTCCTACTAGACGCCCCCAGATGCTGTGTTCTCCCGCTGCTTCTGTTGATATTGCTGCTGCTCTTTCCGGTCCAGGAATCGTAGTTGCTTCTGGTCTTGCTGCTCCTTTTACAGCCGGCATCACATTTTCTGCCTCTGCAGAGCAGCAAGAACTGCTTGTCGGGCCTTCTTGCCCCCGCAGCCAGTCACCCCGCCCCAACTGCGCCTGCTGCGCAGATTGATGCTGCTGCTGCTCTAAGGGGCTCTGTGCAGCTGCATCGACTAACTTGCCCACGGCGAGAGGCAACAACAGCTGCGTCCCGCTGCTCAGCAGCAACGCAAGGATTACCCCTGTAACTCGGAGTTTGTCTTCCTTAAGCAGCCGTAGAAGTTCCAAGAAAGCCACGCGGGGGCCCCTACCTGTGGGGCACTCTGGACCCCCTTGGGGGGTCCCATGGACCCTAGGGGATCCGTCTCCTGCATTTCTTCTTCGGAGCCTCTGTACGGACTCGCGTAAGGGTGATTTGTTCATACAAACCACTGAGAGCGGCAACGGGAATGGACCCACGTTAGGTGTTCGTCCTGAAGAAAAGGGAGATGCTGCAGCAGGATTTGGCATGGAAGCACCGATATACTGTCGGCTAGAGATCCTGAGAGGACATCTACCAGCGGTTGAGATGTTGAGGGACCCCACTTGTCCGATGCGAGGACAGGGAAGGTACGTTAAAGGGCCTGGAGATCGGGTCCCCTCGCTCACTGATATATGCAAAGATAAGGAGCCCAGAAGGTCCCCTGGTAGAGGGCACTTCTCTTCAAGTATGGCCCCCTGGAGACACCGCCGCCCGTGATGAGGCTTACACACAGACGGCAAAAAGATCCTCCTAAGGGGTGGACTCCGTATCGAGGGGCCATCTACGAAGCAGATGACCATCTGAGGGGCTGTGCATATACTGAGGGGGCTCACAGCTCGGGGAAGCCACTGCAACATCTCCTGCAAACGTCCCCCAACAAACGCTGCCTCGAGTCTGTAAATGGGGGCCCCTTTCTTCTTTAGGGAGAATAAGACTCCGTCGGTAACGCAACTGCAGGCCTTGCATGCTGGGAGGCCCCTGGAGATGAATTCAAATCCTCCACACAGGTGCAGACAACACGGCCTACTCGAGGGCCCTAGTCACCAGCATATGAGTTGTAGAGGTGCACGTACATACAGCAGACATCACAACCTTATCTGCTGTACCCGATCCTGCTGCTAGCTGTGGGGGTGTAACTGCTCAGAGTTTTGCAACTGTGGCTGTTGCTCCTGCTGCTGGTGCTCGGGCTACTCCTCCTTCAGGTCCCTCAACAACTGCAGCAGCACTCCCAGCCCGAGGCTGTGCAAACTCCTCCCACTCCAAATTGACAGTAAATCAAATAGCCATCGACGTCGTCTGGAAGAATTTATAAGTTTAGACCTAAAGGCAGCAGAAGATCGGAGATAAACACATCAAGGTGGGAGAGGTCCATAGGCCTCTCGAGACCCACGTAGGGAGGGCCCCAGTCTTCTTAAGCTTATTAATTTGTCCACCCAGACGGCATAGCAATAATACCTGCAAAATTGATGCTCCAATCGAAATCAGGGCCTGACCGTTTTCTTTAACATCTCCAGAGTATGTTTCACCGGATCCAACAGGCGAACACGCTGCACGGTGTAGCTGCAGCGTCTACGGTGTGTGTATACCACCAATTCAGTTCATCCATGAAGTTTGTTGACAAACTTTGTATTTAACTCGTAAATAAGGGCCCGTTGTAGCCATTTCGCCGCTTAAGTTTGGCAAAAATGAGGAAACCCGCGAACGACTACGATGCTGATGCGGCATGTTGCAGTTGTTAGCTTTCTTTCATTCTAATGCTCTCTAGGAATGTGAAGAGTATTGAGATTGGGGTTGCTTTTAAGAAGGTTGGACCAGTACTGCTGCCATCTTTGTCAGTGTCAACCCTCTATGTAAGTGCCTTGCTTCCTCCACATGTAAAGGAGGAGTGCTAGAGTTTTCCACCAAAGTGGAACAAATACCGCTTTGCATACATGTTCCACTATTTCCGATTTGAGTTACCGAACCACCTGACTTGACAATATTTGCGTTTTCAGATTCCAAACTCATTCAGGCCAGAACCGTCTTTGGGTGCTATCTTTGGTGCCATTCTTGGATGATTTTTTTTTCTGCACAGGACTTCTGCCGTTTTATGAATCCTTTTGCACAGAGTAATTTCAAGTATACACCGGATTTGCAACCGAGAATACCTGTTGGTGCTGAAGGCAAATTATTATGGTGGAGCCTGCATTCGCCGTACGGCTGCGTGTGTTCCTACCAGATGTTCGAACTAGGCTGGTTGGCAGCAGAAGGTTTGAGGGTGTAAGGTTCCAGAATGACAGTTGCATTAAGTATAAAGGCGCCACAGCCGTAATGCTTTTTGGCTTGTAGACCGACTTCTAGTGCCCAAGCAAAGTTGTTATGGTCTCCCTGTTTCAGCGGGATGTGTTTAATAGCTTTTGTCGGATATATGTCTCGTATCCTCACATACATGGGAGCACCAGTTTCATCTGCCAGGAAGCAAGCTTTTGTTGTTGTGGTTACCTTTATGCGCCTCCCTAAATGCCCTCTGCTTGCCGCCTGATTGCTCTTGGGATTTGTTGCCGACCTGTGTGCCCCTTTCTGTATTTTTCCTGCCTCGAATGCGTCCTCTTTCGCCTATGTAAATTAAAGCCCCTCATGGTACTACACAAGCTTCATTGTACTACAAACTTCACAGGCGTACGGGATTCCAAAAGGTGCGCAGCTATCGGTCACTGGAGGCGCTTTCTTGCCTCAGTTTGTCCACAGTCTGAGATAACGCTTTGAAGCGGAAAGGCAAAGCGGAACAAGAAAAAGCTAGTGCAACCCACGGAGTTCAGGAGATCCATCCTCAGCTTTTGAAAGAGAAAGCCCCTTTTCTGTCTTGCTAGAGTAGAACCGCCCGGTTTCCTCGCCCCTACTGTATTGAAGTTAAACGGCAGAAAACCAAAATAACCGTCTGTCTTGATCTAAGCAGCTGGCTAGGCCATTCGTGCGACGAAAGCTGTAAATGGCAGTACTCCGCTCGTATTCAGTGGTAGTTCCTGTACTCGACAACGAATGCTAGTTCTGCGTACAACAGCTTGTGCATGCGCTAACGGAAGACACATGATTTCTGGCTGTCACCGTTTCTATGAACCCTTCAAAAAACGGAAGGCAAGCATCGATCTGCCGCCTGTCGCAGTTGCTGCAACAAGCTTATCTCCACTTCGCCCAAAGTGCACTTAGAGTGCAGTTGGGCAATAGTAGACTCTAACGAGCATCCATAACGGTTGTATGCATCTACTGCATATCGCCAATAACATCTGTCGTTAGTGTCGAAAAAGCAGGCCCGCGTCAATACAACCCACGGGAAATTTACTCAAGTGCGTCACTTGCACTGCCGGTTAGCAGCGCCTCCCAGTCTTGCAGCAATAAGTAGGAACAATATCCTGAAAGCTGCGTCTTCACCGTATTGAGCTCAAAGAAAAGGTAGTGCGCAGTTTCTTCCGGATCAAACCGTCTTCGAAAAAACAGTTGGTAGCTTGTCCAATCACTGTGCTTCAATGCTAGTCGTTGCTTGACAACGCTGTTGCATGCATCTAACATCACCGAAAACGCTCACAAGGTGCCGGCATCATTTCAAAGCACCTGAAGGCATTCAAATGAAGGCGTGTGTGGGTGTTTTGGAGGCTACAACAGCAGAAGCCCCTAACCGAAGGACCGTACCGGAACATCAATACAACTTTGGTACTACCATGGTCCTCACGTCTGCTACAGCCTTCCTGCCTGCAGAAGCAATTCCACGGAACAGCGTTCGTTCAGTATTTGAGCAGAGCTTAGCTATGTCCTCACTTCGTCTTCGTTGCTGCAGAAGGATATTGCTGCATTACGATCCTTTGCCGTCCCCGTCTGCCTGTGCCCCCTATCGCTCGGTTTATTCTTGTTGTGTGTTTCTGCTCCCAGTGTCCCTCGTGTCTTCGTTTTTCGTCAAACACTACTTAATACTTCAAATCGACGTTCTGCTGCATGTTTTGGAGCAAACCAGCGTTTCCATGCCATAGCTCGAAAACTCTCGTAGCTCAGGAAGGAAGTCCGTTGTCACTGGAGGTTACATTAGCCGCTCGTTTTTCATGAAACACCCATGTATATTCCCAGGGCTCCAATATAGAGCTGTTCAAAAACTGCAACAGGTACGTTGCCTTAAATTCGCATGTGCGTGCAGTGAGCAATATCATCAAACGAACACGAACAAAGTGAGCTTCAATTGTCTCCGGAACGGCGTTGAGCCTTGACCGCCTTTGTCATGGGGGTCAGCGTAAGAACCTGCTGCGATTTGGGTATTTTCGAGTTGCCGAACATGCGATTGAGGGCTTGGTACACTAACTCAGTGAACGGCAGCACTGCAGTGGCTTTCGAAGGTGGGACAAACCCCATGGGTTAAACCTCATCCGTGCTTCCTGAGATAGGAGAAACTACGGACGCGTCAAGCAGCGTCCACAATCTACCTGATCTCTTTTACCGGGGTGTGAAATTGGAGGAAAGATTAAGCCCAGCCAACTCCTTATAAAGCGCTGGCGTCTGGTGGCTGCATTCGTCCTCCCGCCAGCACCTGCTCCACCGCTGCACGCGACTAACACGATGTACAGGCAGGCTCACGCTTGGCACCCATTGCCTACCTCCCATCGTCTGCAATTCAAATGGAGAATCTAGCTTGTTCTGCGTTCGTCCGAAGATTCGTCTTCATCAGTAATCATCTCACCCAATCGCTTAGTAACACGTTCTAGAATTTCCAAAATTTCTTCTTCGCTGTCTGTTCCACGACGACGACGTTCCTGGTCTGCACTTTGGAATGGCTCGTGTTGCCAGCCTAACGCTCCCGGCGTAGGCGGAGGCCAAGCCGCCTGGCTGGCTTCTTCTCCAGCGGCATGGAAGCCAGAACTACTCATGGCTTCAGCAGGTTGGGAAGTCCAGGGGGAAGCGTCAGGAGCTCCTGAAAACGGTGCACGGGGCGGGGGAGAAGTGAAGGTAAGTCTCTGAAAGCGAGGTGCCAAGGGAGGGGGAGTTTGACGGTGTCGTGGGGCAGCACCATCAGGAGGCATTCTGGTCACGGGAACTGAGAAAGAGCGCAAACTGCTGTCTGATATTCCCGTGTGAGATTTCAAACTAGGAGAAATGGGATGGCTAAATGAAGTAGATGCTCGGGGTGGCATTGGCGTCTGCATCCTAACTGAATAGAAGCCCGGAGGAGGTCGTACAGCTGGCGTAGTTGGTTGTAAGGACTGCCGCGCATCCCTGTAGTGGGTGGAGCGCTGTGCCGGATGTCGAGGCGAAGCCAACGGAACCCTTCCTTTGCTCCACCATGCCTCTGGTCCTGTTGCTGTGGAGTCTTCTCCATGTGGGCTTCCAGGGTAAAACTCCGTCGCCTGTGGAGCATAAGTGGTTGGATATCTCTGCCGCCCATCATGCCAAATAGGGCCTTCCTCTATTCCAACAGAAGGCACATGACCTGACCGACCGGGTGCCTTGAAGCCATGTGGGTGGTGGTGTTGCACGGTTGGTGGTACCCTCTGTATAAAAGATCTTGGGGGAGCTAAACGGGGAAGCCCATCGCCTGTCTCCACCGCGGATGAAGAACTACCGTAACCTCGAAGGAGCTGACCATGCGCGTGGCCGAAATGCCCCTTGGAAGAGGAGCCCCAGGTGCCCGACGCAGATTGAGGTGACTCGGAAAGATCTTCAAGATCTTGAGGTCCGAAAGGGTCCCGAACTGTAGGGTAGGCAGAGCGTGAACGATGTATATGTTGGTGATCAAGGTATCCTGCCTCCAGAGAAGGCGAAGAAGAAGGACTTGGCTGAGGAATTCGGGTGCCAAAGGCCGTAGGAGTCTGTGTCACGGGGCGGATGCCGAGGCCGCGAGCAGCCTGGTTTAGCTGCTGAGCTAATGGTGATGTGGTTGTGGGGTGGAAGGCTGAGGAAATGAAGCTACCTTCCGAATGCCCCAGACTCTCACCGGAACTGGAAGAAGAGCTAGCAGAAGCTTCCAATAGCGGTTGGAATCCGCCTTCTGGGGATTTTCCTCCGGTGTGCAGACGGGATAGTGGGATGTACGCCATACCGCCTGCCTGCTTCATATCATTGTTCAAATCAGCTTCGAACTGGGCAGAAGGAGGAATTTGCTTATTAGCATGTACAAAAGCCTCAACTTTGTTGAATAACAGATACTGCGAGATATACTTCTGAGCTCGTTTCAGATGCCAGAATGCTGTCTGGTCATAAAACATGCGATCGAGCAGGTGCACCTGTAGAATTTCCAATAGCTTAATTTGTGTTTCTATCTCTGCGGGTGTCATTCCTGCATTGGGATAATTGACGAGAATTCGAAGGTTGGCAAGGATGTTCATGAGGTGGCCATTGATGATTTGAAGCATTTTAAAGGCCCCAAGTATCCTTTTCTTGTGAAAATTGGAGGTCATACTTTTCGTGTCTTCCCTGGGACGCATGACTGCCCTCGTGAGGTCCACAAGGCTCCTATTCATATTTTTAAGGCGAAGGAGTTCGCCATCTCCATCAATTGGAGCAGTGGTCCTTTTGAGCAACCCTACGATCGCCTCGCCAGCCCGTTCTCTATTGGATTCTAACTCCGTAGGATTTAGCGATAGCAATCCCAACTGCGTCACTAGAATCTTCGACACTCTGTTGACTACGCTGAAAAAATGGTCTTGTTTGAGCTTCGGCTCAAGCTCTCCACACAATGTCGCCATTGCCTCAATGCGTTCCAGATAGTGGGCAAAGATACTCCTAGCCCGAGTAGGCATGTCGCGGTTCTCCCAGCCTTCTTCATCAGGGAAGCTATCTATCACACGTGATAGTTCCAAACCAATTAGATCTGCGTCATCAGCATATCCAATCCAATCTTCAGGTGCTTCTCCTGTCCCATGGGTGGTCAAATTCAAGCTCTCGTCATCACCCCCATTATCGGAGCACTGGTCTCCCGCGTTCCCTTCCCACGAAGCCAGTGCCCTACTGGCCCCGCCTTGTCTGTATCCCACATAAAGCCCATGGAAACAACGCAGGACTAGGTAGGCGACAGCTAAAGAGGCCAACGCTACAGCTAGCACGCGAGTCAGAGAAGATGCGAATGGCCTGGCCATCGGGCGTTGCGGAGGCCAAAAATGCTTCTCAGAAGTCGCATCCCTGCTCGATTCCACACTGTCTAGCTCCTGAAGCTTACTATTGTGCAAAATGACATCCGCCCCAGCAAGGCGGATGTGTTCATCAGAGAAGAGGCTCATGGCTGCACCCTGTGGGGACCATTCGGGCCGCTAGCTGACAGTTGTCTCCCTGTCCCTTTCGAAGACAAACTGTTGCACACCTTCGCTTTCCTGCGTAAATGGAACTTCTAGAGAGTGTGCCGTAGTGCCGTATTGCCTGGACCGCCAGAATCCTGACAGCACCTCCAGAAACGATCGTTCCAGATGTTCATATATAAATGCGAGCAGCATGCATGCATCAATTATATGCCGCGTAGAAGCATGCAACCTGAAATGAGAATAGGACCGAAATTTTATGTGAAAAGGGCAGAATATTGCTGCTTCATCAGCTCGAACCCCAGTGGGACAGCATAGCCCCACAAGTGAGTTGTTTCACCCCAGTTCTCATCCAGTCTTGGTCCCCTTGTGCTCCTCCGGAACCATGAACTATTCAAATATACTGAAACATTTAGTGCAAGATGGACTGCTTTGCCGAAATCGCCAATGATGACTGATGTACAGGCGCTACTGCTTCTGCGCGGTCGATCGTGTGCTATCCTTGGCGCTGCACAGAGTCGAATTTCAAAGGCACCACTGCTTAAAGATCCCTAGAAAATATAAAACTGATTGTTTCGAGAAAAAGAATACCAGGAATAGCATTCTTTCAAGCACAACTGCACCGCCGGTGGGTCGCCAGGCCCGCGGGCCACACGGGTTCACGTGCCCTGTGTCGCGGAAAACAAATGATGTGCATGTGCCAGCACTTACACGTCATTTGTTTCCCGTGACTTGGTGCACCCCTCACCCGAAAGTCAAAAACTCAACAGCATAGACTTGCGCAATATATGTATTTACGTTACAACCAATATCTGGTAACTATTTGCCTAGGGTTCCCATTCTCGCAGTGTCCCGCCAGACATCCTACCATTCCTGAGATCATGCTGTTGGACGCGCTGCCTGTGCATGGCCGCGCTGTGCGGTGGCACGGTGGAGCGGCAGACGCTCAAGTTATTCTAAAATACATTTTAGCATGCATAAATTTGTACATAGTAAGCCGACTTTGAGGTCGTTCCACATGATGAGGCGTTTTAGCCGTTTCCACCACGGGGCGCCAACCTGTACTGAGGAAAGCCGTATGCAGCAGTATTATCAAAATAAATATATGAATCAAGTGAAATCAAATAACCTCCGCTCTAGTTTCAAATCTGTACCCGCGAAACAGCACAAGGCCAGTCCGGTGCGAGGACGGTGGCCCGGGGTGGTAGGATCGTCGACCTTATTCGATGGCTATTGTAAGCTGCATTAGAGCCGAGATACTCACGATGGAAGTTTCGTAAATGCAACTGACATTTGTGCATAGTTTCCAGGCGTCCTGGGCTCAGAGGCTCAAGAGTCCAGGACCTAGAACTGCGGGATTGGATGTGCCCTGCCAAGAGTTACCACGCACCGTACTGCAACTCAAAGTGCAGGACAGCCCTACCTATAAGCACAAACAAACCTTCGAGATTCTATGCACAAACATTGTAGACAGTTGTAACACTACGTCTGCTTGAGTACTGTTTGCCTACTAGGGTCGAGGAACGGCTCATCTGCTCACTTCAGTGGGAGATTCCAACACCGCACAGAATATGCTGCTTCTGCTCCTCCCTCGAGCAAGCAGCACACATTCTCGTCTTTACATGTCAGCGCTGAAGATTGTGGTATTGAACGGTCATTCCTTCGCCTGTTGCAGAGCCGAGGCGGCGTTCGGCTCCCATCGTTGCCCGACAAACAATGTCTCCCTGCAACACAGCCTTCAGCATTTAGCTACTGAGTTGCTTGCTGCGGTTGTTGAAGGTCTGGTGCTGCGTAAGCTGAGCCAAAGACCGCTTACGGATGTGCAAAACCAAGCTGAATTCTTCCGTGCGCCTCTCTGATACCTTGCGGTTGCTGGTCAGGTTAGTCTCTGCAACTATTTTGCTTCATAAACCAAAAGAAGAGGTAATGATAGTTTGGTCGAGGTAGCAGTGCTCCTTGTTGACACCGGCCGATGCCCAAGGTTGCCAAGACACGCGAAGAAGATGTAAACAGGGTTGATGGGCCCACCCTAGCCACGATGCCTCCTTGGTTTGGGGAAGGCTGCGACTACCATATAGTTGATTGATCCCCAAGCTTAAATTGCTTTGTTCACGCCGATCATTGCTCAAGTGGTCGTCGGGTCAAGATGAGTTCAGGAGGAATTGCTTCGTGCAAACGCTCTTCAGAATTCATTTAGGTTATTGTTCTCTTAGTATTTTGAGAAATATTAATGCACGCCATCTTTGGCCTCTATGAATTGTTTACCCGCGCTTAGGACCTCATTCTCCTCCAGCTATGCCTTCACAGCGCAACGCTGCTTTCTCCGTTCGGGGAAAATTCGGGGATTTTCCGATTATCCACTTAACCGTTTTAGGAGAGCAACGTACAGCGTATGACACCTCCACGTTAAGGACAAGTCAGTTACTTAGGTCGGCGAACTGAGACGATACAGGACAGTAAAAGGTCCTGCGCAGCTTAGTGCAAACTTCTTCGGCTGTTCGATCACTTGCGAGCTCCGGAGGACATGCGAATCCGCCGAAGACAAGTCGCCTGGATTTAAATGAACAGCTCAACGTTGTTTACTACAGCTTTTAAGCAGGCGTTCCGGAGTTTTCTGACTCATTCCCGTGGTGCTACGAGCTGCGTGGGGAGGCCTAAGGCTGCTGTCGTACGGGGCTGGCTGCCGACAGCCACGTGTAATAGTGGGCAGGCCAGAGGCGTTTTGTTGTAGATCACGAATGCCGGAGAGAAACAAATGAATGAGTCCACTATTGTACTTCAGATGTATTCCCCACAAGGGAGGAAATCAAGACACTCTGGGGAATTCTTGTGGATATAGATACGCATGTACTGAAGAAGCTTGCGGTCGTATGCTCACCTTGGCCACCGGTGTCCAGGTGTCTTGCGGTGGTCATTCTATGGTAGAAGTTATGTTACTCCATTAACTCTGGCCAGGAGCTGCTAACGATTTTCCGACCACTGTCAGTGGTGGTACTTTTGGGAAGGCTATGAAACACGATGAATGAATAGTTGAGCTACTCCCCATGACGAAACAGAGCTTGACCAGGGGATGAAGTGGGCATGATTGCTGAGTCTATCCACAATGAAGTAGGTGATATCGTAGTTTCCAGCGGCTGGAAAACCCACTATGAAATCCATTGAGACACCCGTACATATATGTGCTAGAAGCAGAAGGCTTTGCAAGAGTCCAGGTTTGAAACCGCACTTTGGTTTTCCCTCCTGATATGCTTGGTGAAAATACATTACTCCCAGTGAGGGCGCATCTTCAGCCATATAAAGGAGCTTGCAAATCGATCCACTTTTTCTGAACCCTTCAGTGCTAAAGCGCTATCGTGCACTTCTACAGGGGTCTATACAAGGTGCCGGTGAAAGGTACAATCGGTGGACTCAGCGCTCCCTGTGGTTTCACAAACTGTTCTGCTGTAATGCTTCCGCCGTTTCCCAGTACTTCGATATGAGGTAGTGTGCAGCCGCATGAGTATCTAAGGAAAAGGATGAATTCAATTTCAAAGAAGAACGGGCACCATCATGCCTGGAAAGGCAGAGGCATTTTTCAAAAAGTGGGTTGTGCTGTAAGAGCGTTTTCTTCTCGATGGGACGGCAAGATTGAGCTTGATTATGCTCGACAAGGTTCCCAGCGGTTGATCGTTTCCCCATTAAAGGGCAGATCCCCACGAATCACCAGCGTGAATGACAAATTAGAATGCGGAATCTGACGAAGGTTTCAAAAGAGTTCGGCGTTTATATTTAAACACCTTCAGCACGACTCACGGCAATGCAGCGGATTGCTGCGCTTTCGTCGACCTTATAGAGGAATTTTTGCTGTTCTTGCCTGCAGCCCGTAGACCATGCGGTGCTACCAAGGGTCACGCTGGTCCTACAACTTTTCCGAGAACTACTGTGAGCTGTAATTGTGCCAAAATACTAAAATCAAGAATCTCAAAACAGCAGCTGGTCTGCTTCCCAAGTAAAGTCGCATCTTGAGCTCTTTGGCTCAATATCCTGGCTGCTGCGGAAGATGATACGGCCAGCCATGTGTTACAACTCACCTTCCTCCAACCCAAGGTGCAAAACAGCCCTACATGCAGGCAGAAACAACCTTCTTGGCTGCATGCACAGACACCGTATACACTTGCTGACAACATCTGCTTACTTAAATTTTGTTCAGTGAGTTTGTTTTTGTTCGATTGAGGGTACACGTACCCGCTTTAGACAAAGTTGCTTAGAGTTCTCTGACAATGCTACGGTGCTGAATAATTTCAGTGCTATCCAGGGCATATTTGGTGAAGTATGGGAGGTTACACTTAGCACCATTAGGTCTTAAAGAGGCCTGCGTATAGCATTTCACAGGACCGTTTCTAATTGCTTCATATCCTCAGAAGTATGGTCTGCGGCGAGCTGATACGTGCATTCTCCTTGCACTGAAGGTGGGCACTGAGTGGTAAGAGAGTGCTAAAAAGCAGTGCACATTGTTGATACACGCATCCAAAGTGAATTGGGTATGCTTGCTTGTGGAATTGCCTTGTTGTACGAGTTCCACCAGAGTGTGCTGAAACTCAGGGCACCACCCTCCATTGCAGCAAGAGAAACTCATGGAATTGTGGGCAGTGGAAGTCAACAAATTCTGTGGGTCCCTTTTTTAAGTATGCTAATTTTGCTGCAGCTCTGGAAGGTCGTCGGCAAGGGCGAGGGCAATGGCAACAGATGCGAAGAGTCGCTTGCTGCAACGTACCTTTCTTCGTGCTGCTTCGTGCAGTACAGTAACTTCACCGGAAAGTATACCCATAACCACTTTTTATGCTTGGCCGAACATAGCATACAATTGTTAAATTCTTAGATGGCCCTCACTAGCTGGCCATCCAGGTTGCAAATGGGAACTGCTCCTAAACAGGTTGTGGCACGTGGGTGTCAAAGTGAAATAATAAGGAACTACAAGGCAAAACAACTCTGAGAGGCTCGGAATATTTTTGAAGTGGAAAAATTTTCTCTGTGTAGCCTTTCTCAAGAACACTCACTTCGCCTCTGCACGCACCCTTGTTTACGAAGAATGTCCGGGGGGCCAATGCAGGTTGCTGGGAGAGATAATCCAATTTTTCGCGCGGCTCCGCTGTCCCCGAAGAAACTAAAAAGCCGCAACCACTTCACTTATAAATCTTTTTCTTATACGTTAATGTGGGGTTACTTTTCTGTGGGTCCACTTATTTGATGCAGCGATGCATCGCCAGACCCGGGCGTGTTGTCTTCAGAACGGTAGAAGGGAACGCATCCACATATAGTGGCACTACAACTACTGCAGCTCTGATCTGCACCCACAAATAATATATAACGGCGAGGCCGCAACAGGATAATAGTAGTGCCTGTGGCCCCACGCAGGTGAGGGTCTTGTTCAGCTCCGATGGAAACGCAGTCGAGTCTTTACGCCCAATATGATTTGTCGCCCGTCGGCAGCATTGATTTGGGGCTCAACTCAAATTCTACACATGATTACATCTACGTATCCGGTTCTAGCTCAGTATCTTGTCGACAATCCTGCGCAAGAAGGCATTCCAGTCCTTCATGGATTTCTCTTCTGGGTGTAATGTTTAGTTCCTTGACCGTCATCTACATTTTGTTGCGTTGTTATCAATTGATAAGTGTGAAGCCTCAGGTAGTTGGGCCGACCAGATCACTTGCAAACTGGGGCGATAGGCCATGCTCAGGAGACACAAATACGCAAGAAGAGGACCAGATGTGGAGGGCTGGAGTTGCAAGAACTTCATGGCAATATCGCACAACAGAAGAGCAGTTCCGCGGTAATAGTATGCTGGGGAGTGGTACAACACAGCGGCTGCCATTGGCAGCTGCAACTTCCCATGCCATTCAGAGGCCTCATGCAGTTTTTTCTCCAGGGGAGCCTGGTATTGCTGCACCACAAATGGAGCTTCCAACGGTATCGGCTGGACAAGGGGACTTTTCACTAGGTGTTCAGAGCGTTCAACAATACTGGCGTGGTCACGAAGTATCTGGCGATGGCGCGGATAGACTAGGGGAGCCAAGTGGTACTGGCGCAATTGGCGGAGACGATAGAGGCGTACCCGGTATAGAAAAGGGGGGGAAATTCATTGGAAGAGGGGCCTGGAGACAAAGACATCTACCTTACTATGCTGAACTTCAGGTTATAGGTTTGTTGGATCGGATGGTTCATGCGGCGTCGTTGTGCCAATCCTTGTTGCCACTGTTAAATGCGAGTCAAGGCCTGCGCTTGACGCGAGAAGTAACTAGGTTGCTGGCACTGGATTTGGGGGCAATTTCGCTTGTTCGAGATCACCTAGAGCCCAACCGATTACAGCTGGGTAATGCTCTTGTCAATTTGGCGTCAAATGCCCTAGAGCTCAGCAGCGGCGACACAACCCTTGAAGACGATCGAACAGCGATTTGCACACTGGTAAGTGTGATAGACCAACTCAAGAATCCCCGACCACATACGGAAAAAGCTTGCAGCAGGTACTACAAGGACAAGATGAGGTCCATTTTGCAAACGGCGGACAAGGTTAGAATTTACTTAACGCAAGCCCTGGAGGAGCTTGTTAGAGCCATGGCGCCCTCACAAGGGTTAACACCAGCTAACTTCGAACAAAAGTTACGTGTTATTAGAGCTCTTTACAGGGTCCACTCCAATCACATAGCTAGGGATTCCTCACTACGATTTTACATCGTAGCGGTCCAAGAGGAGCTCGGACTGAAACCAATTCTCGGGCCCCACCACCACCAGATGGCCAATACAGAGCTACCCCTTCTGATGGACTTGGAAAAGGAAATCGATCAAGCTGTTCTTAATTCCGGCGGTCGTCCACCACAACCGCAGGAATCCGTGTCACATCAAAGCATTGCTGTCAGCAGTGAGCTGCTTGCACGCTCTCGGGAATTGCCCCCTCTCGTACAGTTGTATGGAGTACCAATGCACGAACAGCAACAAGGAGGATTCACTCCAGGGCCCCCGGCTTTTGTTGCATCAACAGGACCAACGACATTGCAAGAACCCGGGCAGATTGTTTTTCCAAATATTCCACAGCATCGCCAGGGCACCGAAACTCCACCCCGCCAGGGGAGTTCTGGGTTTTTTGCCTCTTCATCACATAGAGTAAATGACGAGACCACCGCTTCGCCACCATTCTTGATGCCTCGGTTGCATGCTCCGCCACAGGGTTTCCGGGGCGCGCATTGGCAGTTTCTTCAGACACCTAATTTAGCTGCTCTCCAAAGCCATCAGAGAGTCTCTGTGTCTCCGTCACCTACAAGGTTCCTTCCCCAGCAACCACTGATGGGTGCTGCATCAGCTTCTTCTGAGTCGAGGTCATCTATAAACTACGAAAGCTTTCAGGCCTTTCCCTCGGCATTTTCCGGTCCCGAGTTTGGCACTCCAGTGGGTTTAATGAACGCCAACTTACAAGATGCCCAACGCGCACCTTCAATGCTTCTTGGGAGAGCTTCGTCAGAAGAAGAATCCTCTTCCCGCGATGAACCGAAGGGCTCTGAAGGTACTGGTGCTACTATGCCGGTAGATAGTATGTGGGCACGTTGGCGTTTTCCTCCTAGCCACCATCCTCCAGCTGTTTTTTATCCAGGGCCCCGCCAGTCACGACGTGATTTAGTAGGGGCGCAACCACGCGAGGATGTGCCTTTCCAACACCACAATCTCTTTGGGCATATTGGTCAACCGTCATGGACGCAGACCTCACCAGCCTTTTTTAGCCAACCTTTGAGGCGGGAATCTGGCCAAATGCACCAACCACGGCAGGAAGGTGCTATTCGCGGGGGGGTAGAGAGTCAAATGCTTGAAGGACTTTTAGGAAGCCTCCGCTTAGAGGACAGCACTTCCAGAGGAGCCGACGATTCTTCTCGCGAATGAGCTAGTGGATATCGACGTTATTGATCTACGCTATGCACGATCATGTTTCACAGCGGATTCAAGAGAAACCAAACAGGAACCCGAACACGGGTGCACACAAATAGGGGATCATTGTATGTGCATGTCTAGGGGATTTTATTCTTTCTTTTGAAGCTCTTCCCTTCACGAGTTTTATATACATAGAGGAATTAGGTTCTGTGGACACCGGACTTCGGTGTGTGAGTGCGGGCTTGGGGGCAATGGGCAGTGTTTTTATGGGGTAGCTCATTGTTCGAAGCAAAATATCTTCGTCTTCAGTGCCCCCATACCGGAGTAGAGTACATGGCCCACCGCGTCACTAAACTAAAGTGTTTAGAGAAGACCACTAAACTAAAATGTTTAGAGGAGCGAGTGCAAGCTTTTGGATTGCCTGCACACTGCACTTTCCTCGTGCTGCACGCGCAAGCTCTGGTGATATGGCAGTGAGATTTCTGCGGTCGCTCTGCGAGTTCACTCGAAAAGGACGCAGATTGTAAAGGGATCAGCTGCTCGACCTATTTGAGAAGCACGCGTGTAAGCGCCACGGAATTATAGAGCTGTACCCATCAGGTGGGTTGTTAAAACGACTACACGTTTTGAAAACTGCTCAACTTGATGTTTTAAGGGGAGTTTTCGTCATGCACTGGGGTTTTATATCAGGGTTAGTCCAAAGACAGCTCCACAGCATGCCGAAATCAGAATAACTACCAACAAATGACGGTGGGAAGTAACACTAACACAGGTGCCGATTGCTGGTGCTGGGAGTTGTCCTCTCCTAACGGAGAAGGAAGCCCAATACATTGTGATTCAAAAAGGCCTACAAAAGCTTTGGAAACGAAGTACCCACCCGAGGTGAAGTGAGTGTCAAGCTATAGGCTGCATCACCTTATATTCCCCAATCAGGCCGTGTAGTATTATTATGCTTCCTATCTGAGGCTGTTTGACGCTTGTTGGAGATGCATTCGCTACGTGGAGTGCACCAGTTTGGTTTGCATGTTCTAGTAGAAGGGCACTTCCAAATGAGTAGCCAGCTTTGGCTCCTGCTTATCTGCTGACGGGACCCAGCTTAATGGGGTCCGTCAGAATGGTGCTTGAGGAGAACAGTCGTTAAGCTGCAAAATACTGCATTTCCTCCACACATGTTCAAAGGGGTAGCACGACTGCCACCACGATTTTATCGATTCGCATTACGTACTTTAAAGACGCACTGAGCCTTTGCAGCTTTCGCTTGCCTGAACCGACATGGCTGGCCTTTCCCAGTGGAGCATCTTTTGGCAGGTAAGGCGCGCTGTGGAAATCAGCCTTCGAGAGTAGGTCTCTCTACACCAATCCATAGGGGAGCATGAAGCTAAGCTGCACTGTCTTGTTGAATAGTGAGTATTAGGAGCTTCTATCTGTTGTACCTATTCACACGGGTGACCCTCTTCGTGTCTGTGGCAGCTGCTCTGCCAGTTGCCCATACACTTCTATCCATATAATTCTATCCTGTTAGGTAGTCTGCGAGTTTTTCGAAAAAGTTCAGCCAGTGCACGCCTTTTACTTGGTGGTAACTCTCCACCGTTAAGCAACAGAGACAAGGCCGCACATCCCCAGGGCCAACATGGCGTTCTTTCTTCCTTCTGCATGGACTGACCCTTTTACATATATTACAGAGGCATCAGCATAGTATCTCGTGCTATCGTTGTGGGTAGTAGGCAAAAGTTGAGGTGCGGAAACTAGGCAACGAATACCAGTGGTCGGGATATAGTATCGATTAGCCTCACCTGCTAGTGGGTCGTGCACGTGCTTATAGAAGAACAGGCGTTTGCAAATTCAGATGTTGGCATAATTTTTCTGGCAGTGCACACATATGGATGTTATCGAACTCTAGTTACTGTACGCCCCTTGGGAATGGCTGTGCGGACTAGCACCCGCCCTGACCCGTGAGATTGCTAGTATTGGATCTCCGTAAGATGCTGCTCTTGGGCATTCATGTACACTTGACATACTGAGCAGGGCATTAATGAAGGTTGGCCGCCTTGGGAGACGTTCCTACCACATTTCGTGCTCTACGCAAGTAAGCGTTAATACCGTGGCCTACCGATTTGATGGCGTTGAAAGAAATCCAAGCGGTATTCCGGGCAGTTTTTCACGTGAGCAAATCGTAGATGCAGATTTCAATTTTTTTGGCGGCTGATTTCACTTCAGTTTATAAATACTGCCTTAAAAACATTACATCTTCTACGATGCCCCATGGCCAAAATGGCCGTGGGCTGCGTGGCAACTTGCCTTTACCCGTCCCATTATCCTTACCTTCTTGTGAGGCTGCCGTCATGCAGATTTGGGGAATGGAGTAACCAAACCATGGTACTTCCGTCTCTTTGAATTAACTTCAGGGCTACTGCATCTTCGTGTTTCTACCTTCGTTTGCGTAGGGCCATTGCCAGAGTCCACAGTGAAGCAACGCTCCCGTTGTGTTTTGCAACTGAATTCTCACTAGTGAAGAATTTAGAGAACAATTACGCTCCCATATAATGTTAAATTTTTAAAGACCGCTATGAGTAGGGAAATTCGTCACGTTCGCCGAACTTGTATTCGGAGCCAGTGTACATCAGTAGGTTGTATTTATTCAGATGGGCACGTTGGCGCGCCCACCACGCGGGCATCCCTTTTCGTCCGTAGGCAGCATTGACGGAGGAATAATTTCAGACTTGGAACGTACAACCACATCTAAAGGTGACAATGGGGCGGTTCGTGTAAAACGCCCCGTCCATGTGAAACAATCCATCTCTTTCCCGCAGAGTCTCGTTAGTGCAACACTAATATCCCTGGTTATCGTGTACTTCCTCTTGCGTTGTTTTCGCTGGACAGAAGCAAGATATCGGGTGGCTCCGTTGACTAGGGAGCTTGCAGCTGGTGGTCGCGGCAAAACATGTTACGGATATGCGGAAGATGGGGAAAGCGAGAATGATTGGCTGCGGGACGATAGTTTGACTGTTGGGCTTGAAGGAACTGCCGGCGAGCAGCCGGCAGAACATGGCTCCACTCAAAGGTCGGCGTGGCAGACGCGAGATACACGACAATGGCCAACAACGCCAACGCCGATAGCTCTTGGGCGGCAGGCAGCAATTTACGGGCTTGCTTCTGGATTAGAACCAGGTGCTGCAGCTCCAGCACTGGAATTCCGTTCATTCTTTTCGCAAGATGCTGACAGAGTAGGATTCCCTCAGCTTCAGGGGGTGCCTGGCTCTGAGCCGGGAAAACTAGTGGGAGTGCATGTTGAAGGAACCATTGACGGACGGGGTCACGACGGTAGACTTAAAAAGGATTTCGGTGTAAAGCTGCCTGAAAAAGAGACTTACGACATGTGGGAACAAAGAAACCTACCCGCCTATGCTGAGGAGCAGGTTGTCCGCTTGTTCCAGCGCATGATCGAATCAACTTCGTTGTGCCGACCCTTGTTGAAAACAACAACTCAACGTCAACGCCTACACCTAGTACGTGAATTGGTGAGGTTGCTTACACTGGAACTGGGAGCGTTTTCGCTTCTACCGGAGAAGCTCCAGCATTGGCGGGAGGACTTGGCTAAGGCCCTTCTGCAGCTCAGTCAAGAAGCTCTGCAGCGCAGCGGCGGGGCTAGGGACGCTGACGAAGATCGCCGTAATCTTGAAGAACTGATTGCTATTATAAAGCAACTCTCACGACCTCGCCCACATACGGAAAATATCATGGCTAGGAGCTACAGGCCAAAAATGCTGTGTCTCCTGCGGACTGGCTCTGAAATATTCGATTTATGCAACAGTGCGCTGGAGGAATTATCTACCTTCCAGGGCAAACCACCGCCGGAATTGGTTTCAAAGCATACGCGTCTCATATGGAAATTGTTTGATGTGCATGCCTCCTATGTTTCTCGCGACCTTACGCTAAGGTGGTACATCCTAGACTGCCAGAAGAGCACTCAAACCAGGCCTGTCTTGTGTGGGCGTCATATGAATAAAATTGATGATGGAGCGCTTCCTTCAATAGAGAGTGTAGTGGATGAGATACACAGAGCTGCTCGCAGTGCTCAGGGCCTCCTACCGTCTCAACTACACGAAACAAATACACATCAGGGTGTTACACAGCCGCTGGCAGCCAACTGGGAAATGGCCACGCCAGTGGAGCCAAGCGGTGCAGAACGAAGGCACACACTGCAGCAAGAAGGCTTCATCCCATCATCTCAACCTTCTTGGATTTCGGCAGGCATGGGGTTACAAAACGTGCAGGCAGAAACGGTGGGTGCTACCTCACCCCATCGCTCATTGGTACTGTCTAAAAATGACAGCTTTTCTGGCTCCGCTTTTCCGCACCAGCCGGGATATGCAGCAAACGGCTTGCAACCGTCCCCATCACATTTTCCTCTGCCTTTGTTGGGCTCGTCGATGGCTTCCACGAGTGGTTTGCCACGGGGATTCCAACTTACACATTCACAATCTCACTGGGGAACTGCTGACGCAGGAGTTCCGGGTAGATTTTCTGGCGAACATGGCGGTGTTGGTGCAGTGCCACTGCCATACCCTGCCCCACGGCAAGAAGCAATGACCCCCCGTCACCCTCATCCTCAACATTCAAGACCTGAAATCGTTGGAACAACTGGGCCTAGGGGAGCCCACATATATTTACACAACGTGCAGGCAGAAACGGTGGATGTTTCCGCATCCCGTCGCTCGTTGGTACTGTCTAAAAATGACAGCTTTTCTGGCTCCGCTTTTCCGCACCAGCCGGGATATGCAGCAAGCGGCTTGCAACCTTCCCCATCACACTTTCCTCTGCCTTTGTTGGGCTCGTCGATGGCTTCCACAAATGGTTTGCCACGGGGATTCCAACTTACACATTCACAATCTCACTGGGGAACTGCTGACGCAGGAGTTCCGGGTAGATTTTCTGGCGAACATGACGGTGTTAGCGCAGTGCCACTGCCATACTCTGCCCCACGGCAAGAAGCAATGACCCCCCGTCACTCTCATCCTCAGCATTCAAGACCAATCATTGGAACAACTGGGCCTAGGGGAACCCCCATCCATTTAAGCCACCGCCACCACAGCAATTCTGATCGCCGCATTGTACATCCCGTGGGTGGTTTGCCAACTGTTGCCGAGCCTATTGGACAAGCTCCAGGTGGACTTTCTGCCGGAAGTTATGAAGCAGTACGTGGAAACACTCAACAGGAACGACTAGAGGAAAACGAGCTGGAAGAAGGTCTGTTAGCAGATCTTCTGAGAGGCGGTCTCAAGATCGAGGATATCTTCCCCAGTGTAAAAGTAGAAGAGCCTCCACATAAGTAAGGTGGTTTATATTCTTCCGCTGCAGATGACAGAATATGTACTTTGCGGGCATACACTGCGGACGAGGGATGCAACGAAAGATCGTACTCAGGCAGCGCGTTGCACTACGCTGCATGTCCTTGTGTTCAAGCTTCGCAATATCCATTACAAAGCAGATCCTCTAGCATTCAATTTATTTTCATGCGCACCCGGTTTATTGTGGTCACACTGGAATGGCGGTTCGAGACTTTCGGGCCTTACCCTGGTGAATTGGGCAGGTTACTAGGGGCCTTGATGGGCCAGGTCTCGCCTTTGCTAATTGAGCCCAACATAGGAAGTAAGGAATTGACAGTGAGCCATCCGTGATTTTGACGCACAAAGTGCATATTTAGTGCCGCACACCACTAGACTAATCTGGGAAGGAGAATGGTTGCTTTCGTCTTGACACCTGCTATCAGCGATACATGGGGGTGTGCTTTCTGTGCATTTGGGAGAACCTTTCTCCCAATTATGTGCGGCAGAGGCCTGCAGCCTGAAGTACGCCAAGGCGTTGCAGAGCCCAGTCCCAAATGATGCTCCGGCTGCCCTTTAGAGTCCCCAGGCCTGTTCATTCAGATTTTGAGAGTACGTGATGTATTGAACGGGCAGTTACATTAACTAGGGATGGCACCTCATAGTCGGGCACAGTTGCTTTGCACACAGACGGCGTGCAACGTAAAACTTCCGAGTGACGCTCGTTTTGCGCGTGTGGTACTGCCCAGCACAACCGTAGCCTCCATCTTAGTTGAGGGCCCAGTAAGCTGCAGCAAAGTGAAAAGCCTTACAGAATGAGTTCCACAGACGCATATTAATTCGCCACGGGCCTCCAAGAATCCCTTTTACGATGATATCAAGGCCTAGGGTTGGTGCGTAGCGGAGGAGTCCTCTCATTAGTTGGAACACACAACGGTGGAACTCCTGCAGGGCAACTGCAAATGCCAGCACTCTCATGCCCTTTTTTGTGCATGCACTGAAGCTATAGACAACTGCAAAGCATGTGTTTTTCACTCAGTAACTAGACTGAGCCCAAGTAGAACTACGCACACCAGTTTCACGCACGCCGCAGTATGGGTGGTGAAAATGATGCTTCGAGAATCTTGAAGCCGACAAGTGTCGTTAAATCCCAAATGCTGCTTGTACCAACTCTATCATGGAAATATGTCCTGGTGGCTCGTTATTGGACGAGAATTCAGTCAACTGTATCATCTGTTTCGAGGTGACAATTCGCCACTCTACTTCTAGGGTCTGCAGGGTACGCTGGGAAGGGTTCGGACTCGTTTTCTTTATTTGGTAATAATTGGGCACAGTACAATACATCAGCACTGGGTAGAATGGCATTTTCGCCTCGCAGAGCTTTTCTCCTGAAGTATGCAGTGTGGGAGGCGCTGTCCCCTGAGCTCAATGGCACTCGAAGGCACCCACTTAGCCACCCTTTGAAAGGATGTGATTATGGAACTAAACTGCTTGGACTCCGTTTAGAGTGCAAGCTATGACTAGAGTTAGACCAGCTGCCCTTCTGCTGTGGAGGTAGGCGTGGGGCAGTCGTACTGCCCAGCACTACGAGAACGGCCATGCACCGCTTTGAAACGAGAGGAAAACTGCTACTGGAACACATTTAAACTACAAATGATAGAAACAAGTGATTTAATGAGGTATACTGCCACCTGTCCCGATAATGGCCTATCCACGGGTTCAGTGTGGAGACACCTGTGTCTGCAGCCGAATGGGCGTGCACGTGATCAGCGTGGCGGCAAATCTATTGGCACTTTCACACTATATTTCCGGCCCTCTCAATCATGTGCCAACTTCATGTGACTTTTAGAGACCAACGTCTGCGGAATGTGAAGCCATATGAGCTAGTTGGTTCCAGATGCATGCACGTTCTTTGCTGCCGCAGACACATTGCAACGACACTGACCAAAGAGGCACTAGGCCCCGAAGGTGACTCAGTTGGCTAAATGCGAATGAAAACTTCCCCCGGATAAAGCTAATTTGCTGTTCACTTCCGGTTTCTTGTAAAATTGTAGGAAACGATTTCTCCTTCGCTAGGCGTGGCCCACCCGGTGTTGCCTCCGTGCGGTGGAACACCGGCGCCTCGGTACTGTCCCCACATGAGGCTCCGCAACGAGCAGTCATTTGGCAATCCCATAGCTTCAAGGCTATTTTCCGTTGCAGCAGCACTGTTTCGCTCGTTTCCACTCGCAACAATTCCGGGCAGACGGTTTCGTTGCCAGCGTTTCTGGCGCCGGGATTTTGGGAAGCGAAGAATGTGTTCAACGACGCCAAAAACGGATGTACACTAACGAGTGCGCGCGCCTGTTCATATCGTTTCAACACAACTTTTACGTCCCCAAAAGCTAACAACAAACCCAGTCTTTCTACTCCTCTACTCGAAAGCCGGCAGAACTCCAGTCAGATGGACCCGCACTCATATCCACTCCTTGGGGATGTTGTGCCATCCTCCGATGAAACTGAAAAGCTAGAGGCTTCAGGATCGGAAAGCAAACTAACACTTGACTACAGCGACTGGGAAGCCTATGTAGGACGTCCCTTCAACATAAAACCCTCCTACCTCTCTTCGGTACATGCCCTGAGCGTAGTATTGATCTCATTGGCTGTCACCTACTTCCTGCTGCGTTGTTTTGAGTTGACAAAAGTAAGAAATCGGGTTGCTCCGTTGACCAGAGTTCTTGCAGCTGGGGACGGAAGACCATGTCAGGAATCTGGGGAAGATGAAGAACTTGGGAAGAATGAAGAAAGGGATGATTTTTGGTTTGATGGACTCGACAGAAGTGCTCGGAAGCCACCGGCACAAGACGACTTTTCTGAAGGTTCGTCGAGGATGTCAGGAGATATGCAGAGATTGCCAGCAATTTCGACAGTCGCGTCTCCCGCAGGTTTCGTTGGAACCGGTGGATTGGCTTCTGGAACGCGTGGACTAGCCTCTGGGGTGGGATGGACAACTAGTGTAGAGTCGACGGCAGAACCACTGGAGTACCAAACTTCTCTGGAGAGAAACGAAAGCGTTCTACAGTACCCGCAACCTCGAGGAACTCTGCAGCCTTGCTCCGAACAACTAGAATGTGCAAGCGATAATGGTGAGCAGACGAGAGCTAAGGTGCAGCTGCGGGAAGGAGAAACGTTGGAAATGTGGGAAATGCGAAAGTTACCCCCTTTTGTTGAAACGCAGCTTGTGGGCGTATTTAATCGCACGATCGAGGCTGTAACGGCGTGCCGATCTCTTTTGCCGAGACTAGGAGGGGAACAACTACTTCAACTGCCATGTGAAGTTATGCGGTTGCTTGCCCTGGAACTGGGCGCTCTTTCCCTTGTCCGTGAAAACATTGAACCCCTCCGGTCTGAACTTGGTCAAGCTATTGTAGATTTGGGGATAGATGCGCTACAGCGCTCAAACGCTTTACATGGCTGTCAGAATATTACAAGGCACCGGGAGGAGATCCGCCAACTGATTGCCTTGGTACTTGAGCTCAAAGATCCTCGCCCAATGACAGAGTACAACTGCGCGGATAAGTACAGAATCAAGATGATTTCATTGTTGCAAACGGCCCCTTTAACTGTAGGATATTGCTTGGGTGCCCTCGAGGCTCTGCAGGCGTATACGCATGATGGGCGTTCTGCGCCATTACCAATGGTCGATAACCAAATAGCTTTGCTTAAAGCATTGTACGCCACTCACTCAGCCCAAATCGCCAAAGATCCCACCTTGAGGTATTTCATCATTACTTCCCAAAAACGGTTGGACCTGTATCCAATTTTTAGTGCCCAGCACCATCAGATGAATACACAGGGTCTGCCCAAGCTGAATGTTATGATAGAGGAAATTCATCAAGCTGTTGCAAGCGCTGGCGGTATCTCACTAACTTCCGGGACGCCGTCAACAAAGTGTGATGTTCCTGCACCCAGCCAGGAGCAAACGCCTCAACACGTGAGCAGTCCACATGAACCGACTAATGGAACACCCACGGACAAACAACAGCACTTTAGAACGGAAGCAGTGGCAGAGCCCCAGTATTTGCAGGCAACAGCACCATTCGTACAGCCTTTATATCCTAGATTTGTACCGTCGCGCATAGGCCACCACGCTCCCCAGCATCACCTGCCGCAGCGCCTTCCAATGCCACTTCTCCACCACAGGTTTAGTTCTCAGGTATCAGGAATGCATCGACAGGAACCCACTATGCGCGTCATACCTTCACAAGTATCATCAAGCCTTACTGCCCAAATAGGGCCCCTGGACGGGCCCACGCTACCGAAGCCAATTTATGCGTCCGGAGGCGGCGGTGGTACCTCATTGCCAATGCCCTACTCTGTTTGGTGGGAAGAATCCATGACCCCACCTCAGCCTCATCCTCAACATACAAGACCTGAAATCACTGAAACAACGGTGCCTAGGGGAGTCCGCAGATACTCAAGCCACCGCCACTACAGCAGTTATGATCGGCGCGCTCTA